GAATTCGAGCCCACAGCAATATAGGCAGCAGCTGCCACGGCCTCAAAGGTAAAGATGAAGACTGAAGAAATAGCTCTGGAGACTGTACCAGTCAAAGGAAAGAAAGTTCCTTTGAAAGATGCTCCTGTGGCATCTAAGAAGATATACAGAAGAGTGTGGCTGAGGATGATGAGGAAGACGATAGTGTTGACGAGGAGGAAAAAGAAGTATCTGGAAATCAAAAGAAGGAAATGGCCAAACAGAAAGCAGCTCTTGAAGCCAAGAAGCCAAAAGTAGAAGCCACAGAACCAGCTGCATCTCTGTCTTGGTTGCAGATCTCCTGAATTAAAAACAGGTCCCACTGACCTTTTTGCTGAAAATGATCTTGTTGTTGTGTGGATTTTGAATTTGCTGAAGACCTGGAAAAGGCTTTGGAATTCAATGATTTAAAAAAAATTAGAAAAACCAGTAAGAAAGATAGAGATGCAAGAACACTTTGACTAAAAGTCTGCCTACAAAGTTACAAGGATGAATTAAAAGGTTTTTGAAGATGCTATGAAGGTCAGATTAGTCAGCAAGGATGCAAAGAGTGGTAGCCAAGGACCAGGAGGCCTCCAAGGAGACAGGAGAAAGAGGAGACCACAAGCCACAAGGAAAGGAGAAGTTTGGATAGTTTCTTCATCCCTCTGTCTTTCCCTCTCCCGTTTGAAAGAAAGAACTCTAGGCTTTTTACTGTGTTGCCTGATCAACGACAGCCTTCTGAGAACATTTAGAGACAGTATACAATCCTGTGGTCTACTTGGAAATCCATATAGATAACATTTCAAGGGCAATACCCTGTTAGTTTTGACTGGATGTTCATATAAACTTTAAAAAGACGAGTAATACCCTTCTCTGTAAGTTAGATTTATATTGTCCCTTCCAATGTACAAAACCATTTTTTTCCGACAAAAAAAAGATACACAGATGGCAAAAACAGCATATGAAAAGATAATCTACATAACATGTCATCACCATTAACACCCACTTGAATGGACAAAATCTAGAATGCTGTCAACACCAAATGCTGATGAGAATGGAGAACAACAGGAACTTACTCATTGCTGGTGGGAATGCAAAATGATAGTCATTTTTGAAGACAAGTTTAGTGTGGTTTCTTAACAAATTAAATGTACTCTTATGATGCAGCAATTCACTCCTTGGCACTTAAAGGAGTTGAAAACTATGTCCACACAAAAAACCACATACAAATGTTTATAGCAGCATTGTTCATAATTGCCAAAACTTGGAAGCAACCTAGATGTCCCTCAGTAGGTGAATGGATAAACTGTAGTAGACAACAGAACATTATTAAATGCTATGAGAAAATGAGTTATGAAGTTGTGAGAAGACAAAGGGGGTACCTTAAATGCATATTACTAAGTGAAAGAAGGCAATGTGAGAAGGCAACATACTGTCTGATTCCAAATATATGACATTCTGGAAGACAAATCTATAAAGACAGTAGATCAATGGTTGCCAAGGAGATAAGTGCAAGAGGGGATGTTTGGGGGGTGAGGGGAAGTGAATAGGCAGAGCACAGAGGATTTTTATAGGGCAGTGTAATTATTCCGTATGATACTACAATAGCAGATAACATAATATTTGTAGCAATATAATGTAGATACAGGGATTATACAACCCATAGAATGTACAACACCCAGAGTGAACCCTATGTGCCTACTCAGTTTTGTTATACACCTGAAACTTATTTTTTTTAAAAAAAGGTTCTTTAAATGCATTAGCCAATAGTTAAAGCAAGAGTATAGTATAATTGAAAAATTATTGTGTTGTCAGGAGTCTGGTATTCTGATCCCAGCTGTACTGTGAACTAGCTCTCTTGACCCTGGGTCAGTCAGCTTCTCTGGACCTCAGTTTGCTTTTCTAACAACTTTGTTTAAGATGCCCTAAAACTGGGATGTTTTATATCATTGTAGCTGTGTCTCAGTGATAGTTATGGGGGAAAAGAAATATGCACATCATTTTGCAAATACAAGTTTAAAATGTTCTAAGCAAATATGCCAAGAAAGGGAACTAACATCTTTGCAAATGCTGTTTCTGTTAATCTTTGCAATGCCTCTTGTCTTCTCATTTACATATGACATTAGCCAAGGCTGACACTGGAAAATCATTAACAGTGTGTGTGTGTGTGTGTGTGTGTGTGTGTGTGTTTTAATTGAGGTTATCTAAAGCAAGAACTTTAGACAAAAGATGTTTTCAGAGCTTTGATGAATTTGATGTTACAGATATCCAGAGGGAATAAAAACAAACCAATTAAGATCTGGGAAAGGGGTTTCTCTGGGAAAGTACCCGTGATCCAAGAGGAATTCAGAAAGAGATCCCAGAATTGATCATATATTAATGATCTGCTTCACTGCTTAACACTGTTTTATGTTTTTGTTTTGGATTGCATGCCCTTTCGGTAGGCCAGTGAGTACCCTACACCTCTCTAGAAAATGCAACTGCCTTCAGATTACAAACTCCAGGTCCTGTATGTCCGGTGTGCTACAGTAGACACAGAGCACTCCACCCAGCAGGCTACTTATTTTGTTCTCTTGTTCATCTTGCACTTCTGCCCCATAGACCACCATGAAATAAGCAGCCACTTACAGTGTAGAATTACTTCCTTGGCAGATCTTGTTTTCTTGGTGGAAATGAGGTCAGATTCCATTTAGCCTCCTCACTCTTTAGGTCTTGGCCTGTTCTCCTCTGGAGGATTCTCCTAGTAATTTTCTTTGAGAGAAGTCTACTGAGCTTTCTTTTGACTCCCTTGCCTCCCTTTACTTTTGTTTAAACTTTTTATTTCCTCTGCTTCCATATGAGATAAATATGTCATTTCTCTTCAAAATTTTTTCCCAAGACTTTCCTTTGATTATACCACCTCTTTCGTATTCAAATCAGAGGTATTTGTTTTTTTTAAAATTTAATATCCATCTACGCTTCAGCTTCACTGATCAGCTGTTACCAATTATTGCCAATTGAGAGCCTTTTGGCCAGCTGTGATGCTAGGTTCTTTAAATGCTTAGTACTATGAAGTAACTTTATCTCATTTTAAAGGCACATAAACTGAAGCTCAGAAAGCTAAACAGACTGCGAGGAAGTGGTACACAGGACTTGAATCTAAGTAGGTCATTTTGATACTGTAGCCCATGTTCTTTAGCCACTGCACTAACAGTATAGATTCAGAGTAGTTTAGAGTTTAGTATTTTTAAACTATATCATCTATGTTGGACATGTATGAAAGTCGAGTGGACGGTACTGGTTTATGCTAATTATGTGCTTTACTTAGACACTTTTTTTTTCTAATACCTTGTGCATTAGAAGCTGTTACCCCCATTTTAAAAGAGAAGAATCTTAGACCTCAAATATGTAAAATGTAGCAATTATTCAAGTATAGCCCAGTAAAAGACAGATGGGAAAAATACTTTTAAGAACATGCTGAAGAATGTCCAATTAAGAGGACTTAGCTGGGAAACCATAGAGGGAAATTTAAGTTGAAAGTAACAATCATAGGTATTTTTGAGACAACTCATCAGTCTAATGAGAGTTTCATTTTTTAGCATAATAAGTTATCTACTTGAACCCAAAAGTCAACATCATGATTAGCATTGAAATACCATTTTGAATAAAGCCAAAACAAAACAGAGAAAGCTCCTATTGGTATTAAGAAATCACATTTGAATAAAATCCAGTTCCTGCTCATCTTTCAGAAGACTCTTGACTCTTCCTTAACTAGCACATTGCAGGAAGTTTTCCTCTGCTCTACTCTTCCTTTTTCTTTTCAACCTTCTTCTTTGTTTCCTTCATAGCATTCTTATTTCACTATAATAATCATTTTTATTTCTTGTTTATGTCTCTTCCTAAACGTGAGCTCCACAAAGACTTGGATTTTGTTTACTACTCTTTTTCTAGCACATGGAAGTTGATTTGCAAATGTTTGTTGACTGAATGAAAATCATGACCTCATATATCATTGGTAGCCAGGTAAGAAGTAAAATAGTAATGAAAGGACATTTATGATAGGAACAAAAAATTTAAGAGGCTAGAATAGACAGAACAGTATGTGTGGGGCCTATATTCACGTATTTAACAAAATTTAAAGCACCCTACTATGGCAGGCATTGTGATTCCAACAAGACAAAGACATGATTGTTTTGTACTCAGAAAAATACAAAGCTTAGGGCTTCCCTGGTGGTGCAGGGGTTAACCAGCCACTGCATCACAAGTTTGATCCCTGGCCAGGGAACCTAACCCATATGGTGCAGCAGACGGCTCCTGTCTCACCCACTGCTCCCCTCAGCAGTGTATTTCAATGGATCTGCCTGTTCTGCTCGCCACTCTCTTTGGTGAATCCTCTTACGTACTCCAGACCTCTGGCCTACACCCCAGTTCTTGTATGCATAAATAAATATTTTTTAAAAATACAAAGCTTACCTTCATCGCTGTCTCTTAGGTATCATTTCTCCCCAAAATAGTATGTATATTAATATTACATACACAAAAACTCCACCTATTTTTTTTTTTTAATTAGGGGAGCAGGGTAATGGGGAATAATAACAGGGCAAGTTTATTTGACATCTGAAAAATAAACCTCAAAAGATTATTTAGTTTGTTTTTTAAGAAGAACAATAATGATGTGTATTTTGGTTAGTTATATTTCAAAAGTACTTCAAGACAGGGCTGGCTTTGGAATAAGCCATAGGGAGAAGAGTGAGTATAATGTAAAGATAGCATTTCAAGTCATTGGAGGATGAATGCTAACTGTTGTTATTGGGATATGGGTGGATCGTTTTGGGGGAAGTTAGATTAAATCTTTCCCTCAACCCTATTTTGCTTTCAGTTTGATTTAAATTGAAGTATAAAAAGGGAAGCCATCAAAGTTCTAGAAATACATGAGGATATAATAATATAGATTATATGAAAATGAGAATGTAGACAGATATAATGTTGCAGGGAACATAAATAGTAGATAGAAACATTAATAATATTTGGTAGCTTTCCGGTGGCGGAGTCTGGAGAAGACGCGCAGAAATGGCACCTCGCAAGGGGAAGGAAAAGAAGGAAGAACAGGTCATCAGCCTCGGACCTCAGGTGGCTGAAGGAGAAAACGTATTTGGTGTCTGCCACATCTTTGCATCCTTCAATGACACTTTCGTCCACGTCACTGATCTCTCTGGCAAGGAAACCATCTGCCGTGTAACCGGTGGGATGAAGGTGAAGGCTGACCGAGATGAATCCTCGCCATATGCTGCTATGTTGGCAGCCCAGGATGTGGCACAGAGGTGCAAGGAACTGGGTATCACTGCCCTCCACATCAAACTCCGGGCTACAGGAGGAAATCGGACCAAGACTCCTGGACCTGGGGCACAGTCAGCCCTCAGAGCCCTTGCCCGCTCAGGAATGAAAATTGGGCGGATTGAGGATGTCACCCCCATCCCCTCTGATAGCACCCGCAGGAAGGGGGGTCGCCATGGTCGCCGTCTGTGAACAGGACTCGTCAAATTATTTTCTGTTAAAATAAATTGCCTTCTTGTAAACCAAAAAAAAAAAAAAATAATAATATTTGGTAGGTTTCAGTGCGAAAGATACAAAGCTTCTAGATGGCAAAACACAAAAGGGGATGATTTTTAACATAACAGTAGATAGTATAACAATAGGTGGTGGTTGATAAGCTTAAATAAAATATTCTTATATACCTTGAGTAGATTGTATCTAGAATCATCAAATCTTGGAGCTAGAAAGAATCTGACCCAATTGCTACATTTTATAAGTGGTGATGCTGAGACCCAGAAAAGACAGTTTCCTTCCTCAAAGCCATACATCTATCGGGTCAACAGGATCTTTTTGCTAACCCCTCTACAGTTGAGATTGTAGGAATCTGGATGCAGAGAATTAAGCTTATATAGCTAGTCTACTAAAAAATTTTAAGTCATGGACCACTCAAATAGCACAATTCCAAGAAAGGAGCAGAAAAATTAGATTTTTCAAGTCTTAGATAAGACAAGTTTAGAGGATTATTTGTTGGCATTTTTAAGTTTCTGGTTGTTTTTTTTTTTTTTTTTTTAATCTAATGAGATAGTAAATATTTTAATCCAAATTGAAGTTCTGTCTGGGGCCTCCCCGGTGGCACAGTGGTTGAGCACTGGGTTGCGAAGCTGCCCGCAGCCTCTGCAGCACCGGTTCGATCCCCAGCTGCTCCCTGGCCACCAGAGGAGGGTCCCACATGGCGCGCAGACCTCTCCTGCCACCCACTGCTCCCCTCAGTAGTGTACTTCTGTCCTTCTGCCTGCTCTGCTCCCTGCTCTGGCTCTGGTGAATTCTCTCACCCTCCCGCACTTCTGACTGTACCCAGTGCTTGTATAAATAAATAAATCTTTAAAAAAAAAAAATTGAAGTTCTGTTGATCAGATAGGTTTACTTTGGTCGTATCTTAGAAAACTTGAAATATTTTAACAGAGAGGCCATAATTCAGGTTTCATTGTATTCCCAGCAGCTTACCTGAATTTATTTTTTTAAAGATTTACTTATTTATGCATTCAAGAGTGGGATGTAGGCCAGAGGTATGGGGATTGAGAGGATTCACCAGAGACAGAGTGGGGAGCAGAACAGGTGGAGCTACTGAAATACACTGCTGAGGGGAGCAGCGGGCGAGACAGGAGAGGTCTGCTGCGCCATGTGGGTACCTCCCTGGGCAGGGATTGAACATGCTGCAGTGGCTGGTGATAGCTTCATAGTCCTGAGAATTAACCCCTTGCGCCACCAGGGAGGCCCAGCTTACCTGAATTTAAAGCTTAGTAATGAGTAGAAATAAAAAGCAACCTTCTTGTAAATATAAACTGTATAAAGTGATGGCATTTGTCTCAGTTCACAGCAAAATTCATAATATCCTATCATTTTCTCTACAAATGATGTGCTGGTTATGTGTGAACACCATGCAAAGTTACACGGATTAAAAAAGAAACCAACACAAATAAATGCAAGAGGTCATAATCCTCCTCAGAGAGCCCAGTGTGGGAGGCCAGTGATCATTTTGAAGATGTTTAGTGAGGTGTGGACAAGATATTGCATTGGTACAATAAAGAGACCCATCATTAGTCTACTTTGACGATGAACTAAGAAGGCTTTAACTAGCTTTGATGAATATCAGTAATACAAGGACCACTTTAATTACAATCCCCTGAAAACAGGTTAACATGCCACTTGAAACAATGCAAGTGGAAAGAATATCACCTAGTGATGTAATCTGTGTCACTTTCTCTCACTTTATTTTCTAATATCTGTAAAGTTGTAATTTTAAAGGCACTAAGTGAAGGTATAATTGGTTTACTTCTATTTTAAGGTCACCCTCTAAACAATACATTTTAGGAAGACTTAATAAGGGAAGACTCATGTGATATTTATTGGTGATTAATGTCTAAATTCTCTGCAAACTATTTTTTCATATATAACAGTAATTAGCAAGCATCATATCACAGGGTTCATTAAGTTCTTTTGAATTAAATTAGTTGTTTTAGTAAGTCTTTTCTAGTGCTACGTATGTTTCTGATACTGCAGGACTCTTTTGAACATTCTTGATAAAGTTAACTTTTCTGGTGGAACCTCCAATTCCAAGGGAAGAAAAAGTGTTGTGAACATTTTCCTATGTCCTTAGTGACTTCTACCAAAAAATTATCTGGGTTAATTTAATACATTAATTTTTTTTTTTTACAACTGATATTTCTTCCTATTTACTCTTTATATTTTCTACTGATTCTTGTTCCAATTCAGTTTATTTTTTTCAATTTTTAGACTGTATGTTATGCTTAAGAAAAAAAGGCCAATGTTACTGTTTCTTTCAGGGGTGAATCAGGTGCTGGGAAGACAGAAAACACTAAGAAAGTCATTCAGTACCTTGCTCATGTTGCTTCTTCACATAAAGGACGAAAGGACCATAATATTCCTGTAAGTTTTTGTTCTGTTGTCCTTTTAAATCTTAGATTTATTCTTTTATAATTTCAGAAACAAGAATAAGGAAGCAGACTGCTCAGTATACAACTACTGTGAAAGCCCTGGCCCTCTCACTACCCCTTCCCACCCAGCAGCTCTTGTTCTACCCAGCAGGGGAGCAGGTTGTTCAGGAAATTGCTTTTAACTGGTTATTCTAACAAGGCAACAGCAATTATGGTTGTAACTTGAGACCTCATTTCTAGCAAAGATTTGGTGACAATTGATGAGCAGTGCTTACAAAGAATTCTTACTTTCCCCAAAAAATAGACCCTCAGATATTTCTAGCCATTCTTTCTGAACTTGCAGAGCAGCATGTTGCTACTGTCCACAGCAGCTAAAGCTGTGGGCCTCCCTCAAGGAGAGGGTAGACATTTTGGGAGAATTGATAATAGCAATGGGGTAAGATTATGTCAGTTATCTTTATTTTGTAGATATGCAGAAGTGGTAGTTAAAATGGCCTGAGTGAATGCCAGCCTAACCAACTTTCACAGTTCTAAATTGCACATTGACTTGGTGCTTTGGATATGGCTTACTGCTAGGGAAAGACCCAAACTTGCTAACATTTGCATTTATCTGTTTGTAATGAACAGCAGGAATCGCCTAAACCAGTGAAACACCAGGCAAGTGCTTTTCTTTATGCTTCTTAGTCTTGCGTGTTTGCGCTAATTTCTGTCTTTAGATTGAGTCTCTACTAGAAACAAATGCCATTAGTTCTGAATGAAGTATGTCATGAAAAAAATATTTAATTTTGAAAATTTGTTGCTTAGCGGCTTATTCTTTCTTGAGAAGCAGCATGCCATTTTGCTTTAAATTTGTTTTCTAAATGAATTTTAATATTTATTACCCTGTTATGACATTGGATTGCATGTTTATGGAACCTGTAAATTTAGGGTTTCATGTGTCAGATACTAAGTGGAAAGAGTTTAATACTTAATAAACACAAAGAAACCTAGTTTTGTGATGTGCATTAAATTTTGACTTTGGGGCTACAACTTTGAAAGTTGTACCTTTTGGGTTGACACATTTTTAATCTGTTAAAATGTTACGCCCTCTATATGTTCTATACTAAAGGCATCATTCTAAGACATAAAGTTAGAATTTTCTTTATTCAGGAGAAGTAGTTGGGGAGAGTGTTCTTCCTAATATCAGATGCCCACCTTCGCTCCATAGGGGTGGCAGTGGACACTTCACAAATTGGAGTATTTTCTGCTCCTTGGAAGAGAGGGAGGGCAGAACTGAGCCAGATGCCTCGGATATCGTGAGATGTCTGTACTTGGACTAATCCCTACCCCAACACTGGAATGGTTTTGGTTTGACTGTCTTCCACAAACATAATGATGTAAAGCTAATATAAAGCAAGACAAGATAATGTTGATTTATGGAAGTATATTAATGTAAAGAAGCAATCAGATAATTAAAAGAATAGTCAAAGATATGAGATCTTCAGATAGCTTTCATAAAATTCTTAGAAATTCTCAGACAGTGAAGGTGTATTATATCTGTGATGGCCCATGAAATTCTTTTGCTCCTTTAGCTACAGACCCAATCAGTGATACAAATTGGGAGGGCTAATGAAATTATCTTTATCTCTAGGATATTTAAAGCCCTCTTTGCCAGTTAAGGAGGAATCTCTAGACCAGAAACCAGTTTTTGTTTGTGCTTTAGAAGTGCATACTAAATGACCTTTTAATATGTGCTTCAATTGCCAGTGAAATAGTGTTGAATGATTAATGTACAGATTTAGGTTTTCCAAGTAATATGGAATACATAAATCATTATCGTTAACATTTTGTTTTGATGTCATTTTAAACTACAGAGTGGATCCCTCTTGTATGTGAGTAGCATGCCTACCTGTAGATTTTACTTTGGGTCAGATCAATCCTGGGAAGCAAGTTTTTTTTTAAAGACGGCAACTGCTTCTTTGGGCTGCTTTGTTGTGGTTGTTGATTTGCATGTCTTACTGCATGTGTTTACCCTGCGCAGAAACTTCAGTGCTGCTTTTCCCAAGTTTAATTTGATAGTGGTCTAGTTGAATAGTAGCTATGTTTATATTTTCAGAAATAGGAGAGGAGCACTAGTTCTCAACTGATTTTTCTTCCCCCAGCACACCTGAAGAATATGAGATACTTGTGAGTGGTAGGGAATGATCACATTCTGGAGAGGGTTATGTCAAGATGTTACTTCTTTGCCCACACTCTCTCCCACACTCCTGGGGTACCCCTATTCATGACTTCCTCAGTCCATTTTGAGAATGACTGCTGTAAAATAATGTTGAAAGTTTGTACTTTGTAAAGTCAGTGTTTCTTTCACTTGATATCATTGGTTTGTAAGTTTACATTGACATTCATAGGCAAACATTCGGTCTCCAGTGACCATTTGTATCGATTTCTAGACAATAGACTGTTACCTTTAGGCAATAGTATGAATTGTAGAAACAAAGGGAAAGGCATTTCTAGGCCTTTGATTTTTGTCTTGTTAAAAAAGAATTGAGCAAATAAACAAAACTTTATTGAGGTTTAATTCATATACCATAAGAGTCACCCATTTAAGGTGTGTATAGTTCAGTATTTTTT